GGGCGCCCGACGCCCCGGTATGGAGCACGCGCGCTGCCGGGCATGCCTGCAGCATCCAAACGAGACGCACGGCGTCGCTCAGCCGTGTCCACGCGGCTTCGCTCCTGTCCTAACCGGCGCCATCTGGGCGGCTGCTGCGGAGCTGCTGCCGGCGGTGCGGCAACTGGCCGACAGATACAACGCTCAGGGCACCCGCCGGCGATTCACTGGAAAGGAACGAAGGCGCCGCTGTCGGCGATTCACCGCCGTTCGTTCCCGTCTCTCAAGCTGGCTACACCGTCCATGGACGAGGGAGACGTCGCCTCCTCTTTCGTCCCGGGCACTGTTCGCGCCGGAAGGCACCGTACACTGCGAAGTACATTAGCCTTCATCTCTCCTACCGCCGGCCGGGAGTGCAGCTTTCGCCATCGCTGAGTGAGTTTATCCTCGACTTTGGCACCTGCGAAGTAATGAACAACATGCAGTACGTCATATGCAATGGCGCTATATGACAGCCCTGCGATGGGCGTCCTCGACGCAGACGAGGCGGAGCTCATCTGCACGGCGCAGATCGCCGACTTTCTCTCTCTCCCTGCGCGAGTGGTTGCGCCACCGTGGATGAGGCATATGGGCTGGGCAGGGGAGTTGGTAGAGGAGGTCGACTGAGGGCGCGAGGCCGCCAATCGTCACAGTCTGCTGCTGACTGTCGGTCGCTGACTGGTTGCGCATTGCGCTGGCCGCGCAGCGGCCTTTAGAAAATTTTGGCCGCAGGCCTAGGTTTTGAAAGATCAAGAGAATAAGCGCCGGTGAGTCTTTCAGAAGCTGCCGTTTGCGGCTTCCTAAGTCAATTTTTCGAGAGGAACGTTTTGGCTGAGCTATAACGGCTCCAAAGTCGCGCGATCATCGAGTTTTGAGTCAATAATTATGAAAGGAAAGGGCTGGCGAGAATTATAGCTCAGCCAATCGATTCAGCGTGCTCTGAAACGCCCAAAACCGTCGAGTTTTTCACCGTGGTCCAAACAGAGAGCTTAATATTTTGATTTTCTTGGCCACGGCCACGATTACCCGTCACTCGCTCACAGGCTCACAAGACACACAGCCAGCTGGCTGCCACACACCCTGAGTTGGCGTACACATAACTCAAGGCCACATCCTCCCTGTCGCCCCCCCCAGCACTCCAAGGTGCCAAGAGAACAAACAAGGGCACAACAAACAACAGACGACAGGAAGTAACATGTGAGACTAGAGCAGACCGCTCCGCCTCTAGCAATCTCACCGGCCGGCGAGGCACGGACGAGACCGTGTGTGGGGTCTTGTGAGGTGTCTATGGACGCCCTCCTCAGAGGCTAGCGGCCTACTGCTAGCCTTATCTCGCACTCACAAACAGTGACAATTCAATGGGTGAGTGTTTGCGAGCAGAGGCGCGTGGGCTAAATCTAGGCCGCACGTCGTGGCACTATGACGAAGTTAGACGTGCGGCCGCAGCGCGCCCGCCACAGTCTCGGTGGTGCGCGCGTGTTAGCGAGAAAGTTGCGGGGAGAGCCATGCCCGACTTTTTGAGGTGAGGTCTCTCTCTCTCTCTCTCTCTCTCTCTCTCTCTCTCTCTCTCTCTCTCTCTCTCTCTCTCTCTCTCTCTCTCTCTCGGTCCCTCCCTCCCGCCCTCCTTCGGTTTTCCCCCCCCCCCCCCCCCCTCTGCAGACAGGAGCTGCTCTCCCTCGTTGGACGTTGCGGTAGGCCGATTCGAAGAAAGGCGTGCTGGTCAGAATTACTTCCACATTCCGAGGTTGCCGCAAGAATTCTTCCCACCCACGGCGGCGAGGAAGCCCCGGCGCGCACCGCCTTTGTGCCAGGACCCCCCGTCGGCGCACAGCTGCGCGCCAGAGTGCAGCGCGATGCCCAAAGCGGCATACGAGGACTGGGGCCCTGGCTGCAGCGAGCTCTCGTCGCTAAAGAGCGCCACAGACAAGGCGCTCCTGGACAACACCGAGGAGCGCTACAAGGCCGGCAACATCTACACGCGCAGCGGCCGCCTCCTGCTGGCCGTGAATCCGTACAAGAAGCTGCCGCTGTACACGGACGAGACGCTGCAGGCGTACAAGTCGTCGCTGGCGCCGCAGGCACGCGGCGCGCCCCACCGTCAGTCGCTGTGGGCGCGAGGCTCTGACTCTCTGCGCGGGTGTCGTGACAGGTGGAGCTGCCGCCCCACGTCTACGCGGTCGCTGCTTCGGCGCACTCGGGCATGCTGCAAAACTCGATGAGCCAGGTGCGCAGGCGTAGTTTCTCCGCGCCACCGCGGCACGCCTACATGCCGGTGCCTGGCGGAGCGCCGTGGCGCAGGGGCGGCGGCATGCACATGAGGGGGGGTAGCAGCGAGCGCGCGGGTCCGACGGAGAGCCTCACCGCGCCCCGCGCCGTAGTCCGTCATCATTTCCGGCGAGTCGGGCGCGGGCAAGACGGAGACCGCAAAGATCCTCCTCGAGTACCTCGCCGAGGTGAGCTGCTCGGGCTCGGACCTGCATAAGCGCGTCTTGAAGACCAACCCCATCATGGAGAGCTTTGGCTGCGCCAAGACGGTCTGGTGAGCTGCAGCCCGGCGGCACCGCCGCCCGCGCAGCAGCGACTGCTGCCGCGCGGCTCGCACGCCGCCGCGCGCGCGCGCCACCTCCAGCGCGCGCGCGGCGCGCCTCTCCTCGCCTGCTCATGCTACGCACGATCTGCGCATTAGCCGCTCACCACATCCACTCCGGCACCGCAGGAACAACAACTCGTCGCGCTTCGGCAAGTTCCTGACGCTGCAGTTCTCCGCGTCGGGGCGCATGCAGGGCGCCTTCATGAAGACGTACCTCCTCGAAAAGTCGCGCATCACGTCGCAGCTGCCCGGCGAGCAAAACTACCACGTGCTCTACACCGTTGCCAAGGGGCTCTCGTCGGCGCAGCGGACCGAGTTCGGGCTCCCGAAGGGCTCGGACGCGGTCGAGAGCTTCAAGCTGCTCAACCTCAAAAAGGCCGGCGATGTCAAGTGGGCCGACTTCCCTTGCGACTTCAAGGAGCTGACCGAGGCGCCTCCCGCCCACGGGCGCTCCGCGCGGCCTCGGCGCCGCGACGCCAGCTGAGCGCGCCCGCTCGCGCGCTGCTGTCAGGCGTTCGCCGTGATCCCGAGCCTGAACGACAAGCAGGCCTCGTGCTGGAGGGTCATCATGGCGGTGCTCTACCTCGGCAACCTCAGCTTCACCGGCCAGGGCGAGGACGACGCCAAGGTGAAGGACCCGGCCGTCGTCGCCGCCGTCGCCCGCCTCCTCTCGTGCGAGACGGCGCAGCTCGAGAAGGCCATCTGCACGCAGAACATGAAGGCGGGCCTGGACTGGATCTCGAAGCCAAACACGGTGGCCTACGCCAGCGACGTCAAGAACGCCCTGACCAAGGCGCGCCGCCGCCGCCGCCGCCGCCGCCGACCCTGCCGCCGCACGCGCGCGCCTCCGCTCACGCGCCCGGCGACTCTGCAGGCGCTCTACTCGAGGCTCTTCGACTACATCGTCGAGATGGTCAACGTGTCCCTCGAAAAAAGCGGCGACGAGATGCGCTACTTCATCGGCGCCGTCGACATTTTCGGCTTCGAGTGCTTCCCGACCAACTCGCTCGAGCAACTGTGCATCAACTTCGCAAACGAGAAGCTGCAGAAGATGTTTACGCAGGCCGTCTTCGAGTCGGTTCTGTCCGAGTACCAGAAGGAGGGCATCGACGTGGGCGACATCACGTATGAGGACAACAAGCTGCTCGTCGAGCTCATCGACAAGCCAGCCACCGGCATCCTCTCGCTGCTCGCCGAGGAGTGCTTCTTCCCGTCCGGCTCGGACGCCTCGTGGCTGCAAAAGATCAAGAGCCAGCACGCGAGGCACGCCAACTTCTCGGAGGAGCGGCTCGACCGCACCGCCTTCACCATCTCGCACTACCCGGGCAAGGTGACCTACCAGTCGACCGGCTTCCTCGAGAAGAACAAGGACCCGCTCTCGCAGGACCTGGTCGTGCTGATGCAGTTCTCCGACGACGACTTCGTCAAGACGCTCTTCGAGGAGAAGCAGTCGACTGCGATGGCCGGCAGCGTGCGCCGCTTCAAGTCGGCGAAGTTTGTCGGCCTGATCGACGGGTTCCGCACGTCGCTCAACCAGCTCGTCAAGACGCTGGAGGGCACCAAGACGCACTTCATCCGCTGCGTCAAGCCAAACATGGACAAGAAGCCCGACAACTTTGTCTTCGACGTGATGCAGCGGCAGCTCTACACCTCGGGCGTGGTGCAGGCGGTGCAGGCGACGCGCAAGGGCTTCCCCGACCACCTTCCCTTCGCCGAGCTCCTCTCGCGCTTCGAGCTCGTCGTGCCGAAATCGGCGACGAACAAGAAGGGCGCCGACGGCGTGCGCGCGCTGCTCTCGAGCGCGGGCGTCTCGGACAAGGAGTTTCGGATCGGGAAGACGAAGGTCTTCCTGGGCGTCGGCGTGCTCGACCAGCTCGAGCAGCGGCGGATGGAGTACATCGCGTCCAAGGTGCTCTCGATGCAGATGCTGGTGCGCGCGTACAACGCGAGGAAGCGGCTCAAGCTGCTGCGCGACGAGAAGGCGCGCGCGGCCAAGGCGAAGGCCGAGGCCGAGGCGGCGGCGAGGGCCGCCGAGGAGGCCGCGCGCAAGGAGCGCGAGGCGGCGGAGGCGGCGGCGGCGGCGCAGAAGGCGAAGGAGGAGGAGGAGGCGGAGAAGGAGCGGCAGACGCGCTTCCAGCGCGCGCGCCAGATGTCGTTCGAGCGCAACACCGCCAAGAAGCGGCGAGAGCAGGCCGAGAAGGCGAAGGCGGCCGAGGCGGCGGCCAAGGCGACGGCCGACGCGACCAAGGACCTCGACGCCGAGAAGCTCGCCAAGTTCCAGCAGGAGGTGGCCGACGGCGGCGGCGTCGACAACAAGGAGATGATGAACGTCGCCGTCGTCTCCGACATTGGCTGGAAGGGCGGCGCCGAGCCGGCGCAGGGCGACGACGTGTGGGCGCAGTACGACTTCAAGTGCGCGGTGAGCGATGTTCTCGAGTACGCGGAGTACCTGGGCATGGACATCAAGCAGGACGCGCACCTGCTGTGGATCGCCGACGAGGCGCTGCAGGCGCCCGAGCCGCAGGGCTGGGAGCAGCGGCTCGACCCCAAGGGCGGCGTCTACTACTACCACCCGACGACCGGCATGTCGCTCAACCAGCACCCGCTCGACCACCACTACCAGCAGTTCTACCTGCAGATGAAGGCGCAGTACGACGCCATGTACACCTCCAAGGGCGACGCGGGCGGCGAGGGGGGCGCGAAGCCCGGCACGGCCGCGCAGGCGCCCATCGAGTTCCTTCCGTACAAGGGCGGGCCATACGAGGAGGGCTCCGGCGGCGCGGCGCAGAAGAAGGGACTGTTCGGCATGGGCAAGAAGAAGGAGGTGAAGGGGCCGGTGGAGGAGATGTGGGAGCTCTCGTGCCAGCTCGACCGGCAGCAGGACGGGCTGGGCATCGGGCTCACCCTCGACAACATCATCGTCGAGGTGCGAGCCCGGCGGCGCTTCACACCGCCCCGCGCCACTCCGCCTCCAGGCCGCTAGCACTCGCTTCAGGTGGAGCCCGGCGGCTCGGTGGCGACGCAGGGCGAGCTGCAGTACGGCGATAAGATCGTGGCGGTCGACAACAACACGTTGGGCCACCGGATGCTCAAGGACGTGATCGTGCCGCAGCGGACGCACCAGCTCATCGTCAAGTACGCGCGCATGTCCACGCAGCCGCCCTCGCCGCGGCGCGAGAGAGCGAAGAAGCTTGTGCCCGACAAGGGCGCCGCCCCGCGCCGCATCGAGGAGATCGAGGTCAAGATCCGGCGCGAGAAGGGCACTGGCCGGCTTGGCTTTGGGATCGACGCGATGAACACCATCGTCGAGGTCGATCCCAACGGCCCGGTGGCGGGCCAGCTGCAGGTGGGGGACAAGATTATCTCTGTGGACGGCAGCAAGCTTAATTTTAAGCGCTTCGTCGACACGGTCGGCCGGACCGAGGAGCACATCTTGTGCATCGCGCGGCTCCACGCCGCCGATCCCTCCATCGCCGCTGGCAGGGGGCTCAAAAAGTCGAAGTCGCGCAAGTCAGCGACTTCGCTGCAGGGCTCGGGCTCGCAGCTGCTGCGCAGTCAGTCGAGATACTCCGAGAAGATGCCGGCGCTGCGCGAGGTGCGGCTGATAAAGGAGACGGACGAGACCAAGATTGGTGCCGTCTTTCACCGCTCCGACGACGCGTTCGACAAGTCCTTCTTCAACGTCGAAGGCTCGTCCGTGCCCCCCTTATAAAAAAAGGGGCCCCGCGCGCTCCGGGGCGGCGGAGCGCCCGGCCGCCCCGCCCCCCCCCCCTTTAAGTTTGTTTCCCCCCCCCCCCCCCCCCTTGACCAGGTGGACCCCGGGTCAATGGCCGAGTGCTCGGGCCTCGTGCCCGGGGAGGGGGGGCTTTGGGTCAAGGGGATTTGGGGTTTATCCAATTTCCAGGGGGGGGGGATTTTCGGGGGGGGCGGGGGTTCCCCCTCCCCCCCCCCCCCCCGCTCCCCCGCCCCCCCCGCGCGCCGTTGTGCGCGGCTGACCCCGCCCTCGTGCCGTCCGCCCCGCAGGTGGTGGAGATGCTCCGCAAGGGGCAGGGCGTCTTCAACCTCGTCGTCATTTCCGGGCGGCAGGTGCAGCAGACCTTCACCGGGGCCGCGCCATCCCCGCGCCGCTAGTGATATTGGCGCGGCCGGGCGGCGGCGAGTGCCGGCGCCTACCCTTGTGCCCTTCCATCTCTCCTCTGTCGGGACGACCACTCTCCTCTGTCGGGACGACCAGCACCGCCGCTGAGCATCTGCGTTGCCCTGTGCCCACCCCCACCCCACCCCCGCCATCGCCACCACGCGCGCCGTGTGCGGGTGCCGTAGAGGGTGCCCGCAGCCCCCCGCGGTGTGTATGTGCACAGGACCACGTTCGCTCGCGGCGCGCGTCGCCATTGTGCTGCGCTGTCCATTATACGTGTGTGTGTGGCGAGACAGCACACGATGGCGCGGGACGGCGGCACGCATGTTCTACACTTAAATTCGAAAAACAACGAGAGCCGGAGAGTGGAGAGAGCTCGCGGAGGGCCCGCGAGCACACACACAACAGACCGCCACCTGCGCCGACTGCGCCGCCCCTCCCGCCTTTCCGCCGCAGGCCGTCCTCGCTCCGCCGTCGAGCTCCTATTAATTATTAATCATTAATCATTAATCATTAATTATTAATTATTAGGCCGTCCTCGCTCCGCCGTCGAGCTCGCAGAGGCACTGGCGGGCTGGAACAGCCTGACGGCGGGCCTCTCCCTCGACCGCAGCGGCAAGCCGACCGAGGGCGGCGAGGAGGCGGGCGGCGACGGCGAGGAGTCAGGCGGCCTCGAGCACGGCGGCTTCGAGTCCTTGCACGACACGGCACGGCCCCGAAGCGTCTCGTCGCGCATCCCGTCCGTGCGGCAGCACACAAAGACGGTGCAGCGGCTGATGGAGGTGCGCCAACCTCGCCGGAGGCACTTGCACGACACGCCCGCGACACGTCCGCGACACGTCCATGGCACGGCCGCGACACGCCCACGACACGTCCGCGTCCCGTCCCGTGCGCAGGGCTTTGAGATTCAAGTCAACCTGCGCCGGCCGGGCGTGGCCGAGGGGGGCTGGAGGGGGACTACTCGCTTGGGGGGCAGGCGTTCGTCCCGTCGGGGAGGCCTTGCCCGCCCGTCTACCAGAGGCTGGCGACCTCCGAGCTGCTGCCGAGCCGCTCCAACCGCAGCTCGATGTCGTCCCTCGCCGCCAGCTCCCTCTCCCACCGCTCCTCGCCGGCCAGGGGCAGGCGCGGCCCCGGCGGCGCAGACGGCGCGGGCGGCGGCCCTTAGGATGCGAGTGGGGCCGGCCCCACGGCCACCGAGCCTGCCGCCTCCTCCCTCCCCAGCCTGCTCGGGCCCTGGCCCGAAGGCGCAGCGCCGAGCGGCGTCGTGCCTGACGGCCCCGCCGCCGGCAGCTCCCTCAACAGCCCCCTGCTGAACAGCTCGCTGTACCTCTCCGCAGAGGCGGACGTGCGGAGGACGCTGGCGGACTTCACGGCGATGGCGACGGCAGAGCCGCCCGCCGGCCTCCCCCCCGCCCCCCGCCCCCCCGCTCGGGGGGGGACCCCCCCCCCCCTCGTTCGCCCAGCGGCTCGCCGCTCCGCTGCCCGCCGGCTCGCCCCCCGCGCAAGAGGTGCTCGGCCGAAGCCTCCTCGCCTCCTCGCACGCGCTTGTCCGCCCCTCCTCGACCAGTGGTCCGCCCGCCGACGCCGCGCGGCCGACCGACCGCGGTGCTGCCGGCGGGGCCGTTTCCGAGAGCGCCATCAACTGCATCTCCGCCAACGGCGCGAGCAGCGGCGCAGGCGCGGCGGCGGCGGCCGGCGCGGCGCACGGAGGCGGAGAGACAAAGGCGCGGTCGGCGCGGCCGGATTGGCCGCTCGGCTTCGAGCCGCGTCTATTCACACCTCCAGCGCGTGAGCAGGCGGCGCGACCCGACAGCTCGCCGCCCAACGAGAGCCCGCGGCGGGTCTCCTTTCTGCTATGAGGGCAAGCCCTGCCGTCCACCGTACCGCCATTCCCGCTGCCGACGCCGCCGGAGGCGCGAGGCTTGAGGGGAGGCTGCCGGGGGGAGGGCCTCGCTCGCCAGCCTCGCAGCGGGGGCGAGCGAGCCGCGCGTGAGTGGCTGCATGTTGCAGCCGCTGAAGACGCAAGGTCGGTGTGCTGTGCTGCCCAACCGGCACACCGCTTGCGGTCGGACCCTGGAACGGCTGGAAGATGATGTGCTCTCTGGGGACGGGCTCTGTGCAACCATGCTGATTGCTGTCAGAGGGGAGCAGGTTAGCCACTGCCCACCGGGCCGTGACCGTGGGGCGGCATGCGCGCCGCTGAGTCTATTTATTCGAGAATTGTGATCCCAAAAAATGTGCGACAGAGAGAGGTCAGAGCTCAGACGAAGGTGAGGGCACCGGCCACCGCACACCAGCTCGTGTGCGCGCAGGCGCGTCCACGGTCCAGGTCCGCAGGTGCGTGGGCCACACATGGCCCACAGGCGGCCGCGGGGGACCCCACAACACGTCAGACGGAGAGAGTATATGCGTCTGGTAAGGCGTAGCGCAGAACTGGGAAGCAATCGCACGATGAAGCGTCGAATGTGTGAGCACGCGGTACTTTCAGTCAACAGGCACCTCGGGCCATGGGGCGCCGAGCGCAAAGTACTTCTTTGCAAACTCGACGTCCATCCCCTCACTGATTCCGAGGTCGACGTGGCCTGTCGCAGTATGGAAAGACGGCATGATTTCATGGTAGGGAAAGGGCGGCCCTTGGTGACCATATCCGTCAAAGTCGTGATAGTTGACGAGTCCCTCCTTCTCTGGCAGAACCTCTGTTTCATAGCAGATGGTACCGTTCTCTACAATGTGAATGCCAAGCTGATCGAGTCCCGAGAAGTGGAACATGCGGAAGGAGGAAAGGTCTCGGCGCCGCGTCGCAATAATGGAGAGCGTCATCGAGTACAAGCCCTTTCCGTCCTCCCGCTGCTCCCATGGCGTGTCCAGATCTGCCAAGGCCTCCGTCAGCCAAGCCGGCCGCGTTGCGTCGGTCCAGGGCTGAGGGTTGCAGATCCGGTCCCAGCCCTCTGTGAAGCTGGTGACAGGCGCGCTCCACGCTGCGTTCCAGCCGAGGGCGGGCACTGCGAGCTCGACGGAGAAGACGTACGCGGACAGGCTCGGGAAGCTGGGCGGCGGCTCTGGTGAAACAGCGGCAAGTTGCTTTCGGTAAATCGACTTGAAAGATAGTGACGTTGGCACGAGCTCCAGCAAGCTCTTGAGGCAAGGGAACCTCGCGAACGCGAACTCCCGCCACATTTCGTCGCCGGCTGCGATGATCGGTGCTCGAAGCTGTTGGCTCGTCTGCGCCATGGCGCACAGCACTGACGCGCCGCCGCGGCGGGCGATGTGCGCGAGCAGATCTGCTTCGAGGTCGAGGAGGGCGACCATGGCGCTTCGTTTGGCAGTTGAGCTCAGAGCTGTACACGGAGCGAGGGTCTGTACCTGGGTACCGAGGCGTACAGGAACGATCAAACCAAGATCACCATCGTCCTGAAGGAGACAATGCTCTCTCGAGGTTCTCGAGGTGGATATCCTTTGGCCGCGTTGGGTAGCGAGGATTGGTGTAACCCGAGCCACGGAGGCGTGTTTTCTGACGGCCGACCGTCAGTGCACGGAGTTGCCCCTTCTTTCTCCGACTGCCCCGGCTAGTTCCCGAGGTCGTCGGTCTCGGGAACCGTACCCGTACTACTCAAAAGTACAATATACTTTCTCACAGCACTAGCGAGGTGTTATTCGGGTGGGGATCCATCAGTGGTAACCGGCTTTAGTCACAGATCCAAGCTCAGACGCCACACCAACACCACAAACACGCTCACTTCGCCGCTGCTGTAGATGGGCCCCCGGGGGCCCATACTACGTCGAAGTACGGACCCGATCTCGGCACTCACGGCGGCTGCCACGCGCCCGCGCGCGGCGCGGGCCGCACCGCCCATGCCCCCGGGTCACCGACCCCGCCTCTCGGCCCTCTCGGCCCTCAGGAGCGTGCGGGAGACCGGCGAGGGGCGCGCCGCGCGCCGCCTGCAGAGCCGCCAGAGGCATTGTCGCCTCCGCTGGCGGGGTTCCCGCGCGCCCGCCCGCGCCCGCGCCCGCCCACGCCGCGCCTGCGGGCTCCGGATGCGCCGCCCTCCTTCTCCTTCTTCTCGATGGCAGTCCGCACGTGCTTGTCGACGGGTCGGCGGCGTGGTCGAGGGGAAGGTCGCCGACGGCCGCAACTCCGCCGCCGTCGCTCCGCCGGCTCTGACCGAGTATCGGGCGTTGAGGGCGGCGGCGCAAGCGGATCTGGCGCATCCATCGCCACGAGCCTCGCGACCGCGGTCGTGGCACACCTGGCGGCGGCTCTCGGGGCCGTCTCTACGGCGCTCGACGCCGTGTGAGGTCGCCAGCGGCCGCAACTCCGCCGCCGTCGCTCCGCCGGCTCTGACCGAGTATCGGGCGTTGAGGGCGGCGGCGCAAAGTGGGTCTGGTGCGCCACACGGCCACAACCCTTGCCACCGCCCTTGCCGCCGCCCTTGCCACCCTTTGCCGCCTTGCCTACGCCGCGGGCGGCGGTGAGAGCGGCCTGCTGGGCTAGCATGTTGTCCTTGCTGGGGACGGGCACGTGGAACGCACGTTATATGTTCGAACGGCCTCCGGGATTCAAACAAAAAATAGTCCAGGCCCTCTCGCAACCCCTCCGACCCCCTGGGACCCGTGGGCGTCGAAGAGGCGCTCTCGGGGGGCCGTTCTGAGTTCATACTACCTCGAAGTACAGTATACTGCGCGTCAAAGCACCGGCCCTGAGTCCGTCGTCGGGTGTGAACCCTTCGCCGCCCAGGACCTAGCGCGGGTGGGTGGGGGCTCGCTGCAGGGAAGGGCTGTGTAAGAAGCCGATCCCCGTAGTCCGCTCCGCTCCTCCCCATCGGGCCGCATGAGCGGCCACGCCTCGCAGATTCGTTTTCGCGCCTGGGTCAGGCGCGCGGGGCATCCCCCGGGTCGCTCGACCAGCGATCCGAAGAGTGGCCGCTATGCGAAGGAAAGAGTGGGGCCCTCGACGCCTCAGTCCGGCCCTCCGAGGGGGGAAGGGAATTGCGGGGTCCCCACGGGCGCCTCAGCGTGACGACTCGACTTGGCCGCGACGCGCTCGGGAGCCGTGCGCCCGCGCTCGAGTCGTGGTTTGTCACCACGTTGGGCAAGTTTTGCGAGTTCATCGAGGAGTACAAGCGTCAGTATGGCGGCGACCTGCTTGACGGAGACGACGAGCAGTGTGAGGACGTGCCAGACGCGAGGTGTATCGTCGCCACGCTCGAGCAAATGAACTCCGAGCACGCGGAAGCCGCCAGGTCTATGTTTGCCGCGGCGTGCGCATGACGCATGACTCTACCATGCGCATGACTCTACCTGGGCCCTCTGAGAGTGTGGCGGCTGCGCCCAAGGCGAACCGAAAGTCTGAATAAACGAAAGATTAACTTACCTCTGTAGGGCGCACAGGCCGTGTTGCGCGTCGACGTCAACTTTCGCAGGACATGCTGGCCACCATCGTTGTTCGTGCTCTCTCATCGTGGCCGTCGCGGTGATCGGTGTCTTGTCTCGTCACGCTCGTGTGCTGAAAAATGTGAAAAAAGGTGTGGGGGGGGGGGGGTTGACGTTTGTGATTGTGTGGTCTGTGGAGATTGCGGCGGCGGGGGGGGGGGGAGGGGCAGGTTGCTTACCCACGTGCGCACTGGGCCTCAGTGCCTCAGTAAACCCACGAGAGACCGACGCGACCAAATACCAACGGTCGCCTCTCGCGCCGCCCCGTTGCACAGAGATGACCCCCCTACGACAGCGCCTCTCGAGCCGCGGCCGCCAAGCCCCTCACGGTGTGCATGGCTCGCTCCACCCGCCACGCGTCGTCCGCCTTGACCGGCTTCGCGCCGCGCACAGCCGTCCGTAGCGAGTCGCGCCGCACGGGGGTCTGTCCGTAGAGCCCGCCATCCGGCGCTCCACCGCTGTTGCCGCCGCCGACAGACACCGACGACGCCGAGCTCCTGGCGCGCTTTGCGGCAGGCTGCAGTGCAACAGCGCCGCCACCGCCCTGTCCATCGCCCTCCTCCTCGCTGGCGCTCCAGATGCCGGCGCCACTGTCGCTCTCCACCTCTCCCGCCCCTCCGCCACCGAGCGATCCGTCCCCGCCCGCGCCCGTGCCGTCCCCTCCCGCGCCGAGGACGCCGCCAAAGGCGCGGCCACCCTCGACTGCGAAGGCCCCGTCGGCGGCGGAGAAGGCGGCGTCCTCCTCGTCCTCGTCCTCGAGGTCCGCCCCGTCCTCGTCCATCGCCACGTCGGTGCCGCTCTCGTTGCCGTCGCCGTTCGACGCCTCCCCGCCCCCGTCGAGCGCGTCGAAGAGAGCGCCTCCGTCGTCGTCGTCCTCCGCAGCTCCGGGCGCGCTCTTCGATGGCACCGTGGGCGAGAAGGAAGAGGGCTTGGGCGGCAGGCTGCTGCGAGCGGCGCCGCTCTCGCCGCCGCCACCGCCACCATCGCCCGCGTCCTCGCCGCCGCCACCACCGGCGACAATCCCGCCGCTGGCAGGGTCGGCGCTGCCATCACCGGCGGCGGCAGCGGAATCGGCGGCGACGTCAACGTGCGTTTCGCGACTGCCAGCTTGCTCGGCGAACTTGAGCGAGAACTCAATCTTGCCAGAGGTGCCTGCGTCCCAGCCGACGATCTTGGTGTCGTCTGACACTTGCCGCAGGGCGTAGTAGGCCTCCTTGGAGGCGCGCCTTGCGATCTTGAGCTTCTCGGGCGCGAGGTCGCGCGGGTCCGAAGACACGAGCTCGGCCGCCGTCAGCGTGCGCTTTAGCACCATCTTCCGCAGCTCGTCGTTCTTGCCAATGTTGACCAAGAGCGAGCGCGCCTTGGATGCGTAGTCCTTGGGCGCGCGCGCTGTCGCCGCGGCGAGCGCGCGCTCCACCTCCGCGGCCACAACGGGCGCGTGCGACACGAGTGACGGGTCCGTTAGGTGCTGCCGGAGCGAGCTGGTGAGCTTCTCGGTGAAGCGGTCGCGGGCCGTGGGCGTGAGCGCCGCGCCAGTGCCGGGCGAGGCCGCGCCAGATGCCGCTGGCGGGAGATTCGCCGGCACCTTGACCGGGGGCGGCAGGTATTCAGCATCAGCATCCGACATCTTCCCTGTGTGGACGAGGGCAGTTGCAGCGCGTGCGAGCCACCACTAGAATGCGGCCGCCATCGAGCCTCCGAAATGTTTTTTCTCCTTTTCCTCCCGGGGGGGGGTACCCGGGTACACCCTTGACCCGCTGGCTTGGGTGCTCTTAAAGGCCGGTGTATCGCGCGCCTTGCGGGGCCGGGGGGGGCGGGGGGCGCGGCGTGTAAATTATTTTCTTGCGACGTTTGCGCGCTTTGGCCTTTGGCCTTTGCGTTTGGCGGAGCTATAAGCCCTGTGTAGCTGTAGGTGGGTGTATGGGCTTCCAGTACAAGCTCAAGCAGTATCGGCTAGATCGGACGGCCTTCCGCTTCCCGAAAACGTGCGCTTTTGGACTATGTGTGGCCTCTTGCTCTTCGGTCAAGCACGCGACTGAGCCTGGGGGGAGGACCGCGCAGAGAGAGTTGGAAATGGTTTTTCATGTGTGCACCGCCCATGAGACCGCATGACGTACTCTCTCACTTCCCGCCCACTTCCAGCAGCACGCTCTCGCTTCGACCTTCGTCACACACGTCATCTAACCGACCCTGTCGCGGCGGCCGCCCTCGCAGCCTCCATCACGGCGCAAAAGTCGGCGTCGCCCAAGCTGGGCACCGCCGCGTCGGCCGCGGCGAACAGGCCGGTGGCCGAGGCCGAGACGGGAAGGTCGGACGCCTCTGCGAGATTCAGCGCGAATCGCATGTCCTTCAGGGCGTGCTTGAGCGGGAACGCGGTCGGGTACTCCCGCTTTGCCATCATTGGTCCTGCGCGCACACGACACGTCGCACGGGCGTGAGAGAGCCCGGCGGACGGGGCCTCTTCCCTGCCAAGGCCGGGGGGGTCCCTCACCCTTGAGCGCGACCATCGGGGAGGCCATCGCGCCGCCGTCGAGGACCGCCTGCCACGCGAACGCGGCGCACGAGAGCTCAGCGTGTGGCCAGAGTGCTGTGCACGCCGAGGCGTGCGGGTGGGGCGCTCGGAGAGGCTGTCGCCTGCACGTCCTCCGAGCTCAGCCCAAGCGCCGACGCGAGCGCTAGCCCTTCGGCGAGGGCGGCGAGCTGCGTTCCCATGACAAGGTTCACGACCAGCTTCATCTTCGAGGCCGCGCCGACCGTCGTGCCGCAAAATACGGTAAACTTGCCCATTGCCGCCAGCTCCGCCTCTGCCGACCGAAAGGTCTCCTCGTCGCCCGCGCACATGAAGATGAGGGCGCCGTTGGCTGCTGGCGCCTTGCTTCCGCTGACGGGCGCCTCGACGAAGGAGCCGCCGCGTTCGTGCACCCGCTCGGCGAGCGCTGCCATGTCCTCGGGACGCAGCGTTGCACAGTCGATCAGCGCTTTCCCGTCAGAGACGCCCTCGAGTACGCCTCCTCGCATTGAGTAAACCTCCTCACAGGCATCTGGCGTGGAGAGCATCAGGTACGTGCGCGAGCACGCCTCGACCACGGCTGCAGGCGACTCGGCGACGGTGACAGCGCCAGGGTGCTCGGAAGCGAGCGCCGATGCCGCGGTGGCGCCTCGCGTCCACACGTGAAGCGGCTGGCCGCTACTCGCCAGCCGCCGCGCCATGCCTTGGCCCATGATGCCAAGACCGATGAAGCCCACCGGCTCAGCTGGCCGGAGGGCGAGGCAGAACAAGATCGCGTGCATGTGCACGCAAAATCGGCAAGCCGCCCGCCTCCCACCTGGGTTGCGAGTCTTCGTCTGCCTGGCGGACCGTGCCGGCGGCGGGGCGAGGCGGTGCTCCTCGAGAAAGAAAAAGGTGAAAATCCACGAAGTGCAAAAGTGCCTGGAGTCCAAAAAGCCGCAAAAAGCCAGCGAGCCTCCCGTTACGCGATTGCTCGCGAAGCGCAGCATGATGCGTGGCCAGCGCGGGAGCAGGTCGGCGCCGACGCTGCCAGAACTAAGACGAGACCGCGACCGACGGCGGGCCGTGCTGGCGAGCATCCGCGCTGCTGACGACGTGCTCGAGACTGACCTTCAGAGCGACGAGATTCTCGCATGCTTTGAGGAGGCGCTCGGCGAACGGCAGCCAGAGATGGGAACGGATGCTGCAGCAGGGCGAGAGGCGAACGCCGAGCGAGAGTGCGGAGGCCGCACCGCGACTGGAGGCTGCAGAAACCGCTTCGCTCGCGCGGGAGACGGCGCGTTTAGCCGCGAACGGGGCCATGCCAGACGTGTCGCCTGCGGCTGGGACGCCAGCCGAGACGGGTGCGGAGGCGGCGCCCGCGGTGGCGGCGCCCGAAAACGGGCGCTGGGAGCCTATTCACGGGAATTTTTCGCTTCGCTGCACGGCCCCGCAATAGGTAGGTAGGTGGGGCACGGAGCCTGGCGGTTGGCGCCCGCAATAGGTAGGTAGGTAGGGCGTTTTGGCGCGACTCAGTGGGAACAGACCCCCTTCTGGCTAGCGTAGGAGCCGGAACCCTGGCTGGGGTTTCGGGCTCCTCGGGTACCCTGTGGTAGGTTGCGTGGCTCGAAACCACGGCCGTCATCGGTGAGCAACGGCGGCATCCCGGAGGGATTCGACGACATGCGTCATGACTGATGTCGCGCCCGAAGAAGCTGCCTTATTCCGACTGCCTTAGACCGTCGCAACAGAGCTGCGGTTCGCGTTCAACCGGTTTCGCTCTGACCACCTCTGAGACTTCCTCTGAGAGCTCTGTGTGCTGACGACAAGAGATACGGAGCAGAGTGGGATCTCATTAGGATCGTTGTGGCAGCAGAAAGTAACGCCAAACGCGCAGAAGAGTTCGACGTTCGAAGGCCCAGCCTCGATTGAGGCGAACTCCTGAGGTTTCGGCCTTACTCGCAACCCGAACCCCTCTGGACACCAATACCGACGTCACACTGTTCTCATCCATCCCGTCCCCAGACCCCAGCGCCACCAGGGCTGCCACCGGGACCGGGCCCACCGGGGCCTTGCCACTCCGCCCCGTGGGGCCGCGACGTTGCCACTCCGGGAGACGGCGCCTGCGAGCCACTGGAACCCGGGTCCGGCGTCCTTGGACGAAAGTCCATGCCTCCAAACCCCGAGAACAGCGACTCGGCCAGCTCGCCGTGGGGCGAGAGCGGCGAGAGCGGCGCGTCGAACGAGTCCTCGGGAAGGGCCGTCTCCTGCGTGTCGGCCTCGTTGACGACTTCGTGATAGAGGCGCATCCGCGACCCGTGCCGGCTCATGGGCATGCTGCCGCTGCCGGCCTCGGCCGTGGCGGCCGCGCGAGGAACACTGCCCGGCTCGGTGGCCAGCGGCGCCCCCGCAGGCGGCGGCCGCTGCGGGGTTGAGAGGGGCGTGCGGTCGCGAGAGATCGAGCCGACGGAGGAGCGGTCGCCGTGGGGCGAAGGCAGCGTCGAGTCGAAGGGCAGGTCGAAGTCGCCGAGGGCGGAGCCGTCGCAGCTCGACGGCTCGCGGGTCGCGCCGCCGCCCCACGCGACGGGCATGGAGAGCAGGGACTGGTGCGAGCCTGATGAATCAAGTAATCTCGGGTAATCTCGGGTGACTCGGGTCATCAATTCGTTACTCACCGAGGGGGCTGGTGCGAGCCGGAGCAAGCGCCGCCCTCGCCGAGCAACGGTTGCCTCATCGGCGCGAGCAGCGACGCGAGCGAGAGCGCGCTGCCGCCGACGTTGACAGGCGCGAGCGATGCGGCATCCTGCTGAGAGTCGAGCTGGGCGAAGAGTCCGCGCCGCCGAGCCACGCGCGGAGGCATGGGCCGCGCGTCGCGCGCCTCGAGCAGCGATGCGTCGCTGAGCGACCAGCCGGCCGGCAGGGGGGAGGCGCGCCGGCGGCGCAACCCAAAAGAGAGGAGAGCGAACGCCGCGAGCAGCGGCGGCGCAAACGCGCCCCACCAGCCCGCGGTGGCGAGGAGGGAGACCACACCGCTCGAGGAGGAGGGCGTGTCGCAGCACGCGCCGCCGAAGCCCGCCGCGCATTCGCACTCGCCCGCATTCTGGCCCGCGCCGCACTCGTACCGCCCGTCGGTGCAGAGCCTACGTGCTGAACACGCCAACCTCGGGGCGGGAGGACGGTGGTGTGCCGTGTATTCAGAGCACCGCGTGGATGCACGGGCTCCGAATACAGCAGCGACAGCGGAGTACGTGTCCTCTCAAGCGCTGTTTGGAAGACCAGAATGCATCTTCCGCTTCTAGCGTGCAGGGCTGGAGCACGTCCCCCACATCTCCCCATATCTCCCCCGACCTCGCTTCTAGCGTGCACTGGAGCACGTCGCCCGAGAAGAGCTCATACGAGGCGCCGCGCAGCGTATTCTGCTCCACGACGTAGAGCTTGCCGAGCGCGGCGCTCACCGCGACGCCGCGCGGGTTGGAGAGCGAGCTCGCGACGCGCTGTGGCGCCGCCCAGCAGCCGGCGTCGCCGCACGTCTCGCCGAGCAGGGCGGCGCGCGGGCGCAGCGCGTTGACCGCTCCTTGCTCGAAGCCGTACTCACCTACGTTGCACGCCGGGGGGCGAGTGGCCGGCGCGCCGCGTGTGCGTGCGCGGCGCTCCTCGAAGCCGCGCGGACTCGTCGGATAGAGGGAGACCACGAGAAGAGAGTCCACCTCGACGGCAGCCTCCGCCGCGGCGCCGCCGCCCGCCTCAGCGCCGCCGCCCGCCTCGGCGCCGCCGCCCGCCTCGGCGCCGCGGCGTTCCTCGGCGGTCGCCGCAGCGCCGCCGCCGCGCCGCGCGCGACGCAGCACCACCGGGGGGCCCCGTGCGAGCAGGGAGGGGCTGCTCTGCGTCATCGCAGCCATGGAGGAGGAGGAGGAGGAGGAGGAGGAGCGGTTGCCGCTCCCCCACGCCTCTGGCGCCTCGAGCCTCGCCCGCCGCGCCGGGTCGCCACCGGGAGGGTCCCGCTCGGGCGCGCCCCCCTCCGACGCCGCCCCTTCCGGGGGCGGGGCCGGCGGCAGGACAGGCGCGGGGGAGGGCGAATCGGCGGCGGCGGAGGCGGGGGCGGCGGCGGTGGCCGTGGCGGTGGCGGGTGCCCAAATCGTTTGCAGAGAGCCGTCCCGCCGCTCGCAGCAGATGGAGCCGCCCCGGCCAGTCAGCTGGTCCGAGCCGGTGACGAGGCAGAGGGTCTTGCCGTGCGCCGTTCGCACCTCCGCGAGCCCCGCCTTGCCAGTCGCGTTCGAGGCGGCCGAGGCGAGTGCACTCGGGCCGGCGCACGCTGTGGCGTTGCAGCCGTCGTAGCGGAGGAGCGGGCCGGAGCCAGAGGTGGCGACGAGGACCGAGCCGTCCGAGCGGGGCAGCAGCGCCGTCGGCGGCCAGAAGGGCGACGGCGTCGAACTCAGCAGCGTCTGGCTCCCGTCCTCGGGGCTGACTCGGTACAGGGCCATCGACTCGCTGCCCCACGAAATCGGCCGCTGGTAGAGGAGGATGAGCAGCGTGCCGCGGGACTCCTCGTGCGCGCCCAGGACAGTGGGCGCGAACTGTCCGTAGTCCCGGTACGGCAGCTGCGAGATGTACCGCAGCCGCTGGCCAAAGGGCGGTGCGTAGAGCACAAAGGTGATGCGGCGGCGTGAGTCGTAGCCGGTGAGGTAGAGGCCGTTCTGCGGACCGAGCAGCACGTCGTGGACGCCGTCCGGGAGGTTCTCGTAGAACACATAGGACGACATCCCCTGCGCGCGGGCCGCCCTTCCTTTACCGCCTTGCCAGGCTGCCGCGAGCTACACCGACTCGAAGCCGACCATCCCGAAGCCTCTCGCCCCAAAAAGAGAAGAAGAAAACCCGCCTCTTCTCCAAGTGCTCCACGCGGTGCTCCGCTAGTCTGTCAGTCAGTCAGTCTTACACACCTCCAAGCATGGAGGACGGGCCCACACGCACACACACGCTGCACACGATTGGCTCGGGAGCCGACACGAGGCACACTGTCACCGGCAGCCTTAGCACCGGGTCCGGACTGCTGGACACACAGCACGCAGCTCACAGGACAGCTCACGAGGTGGCGCTACATAATGGGGTTCTCAGGGACTGACACGGGAGAAGAAGGTGGAGCACAGGGACGGGGACACAGAACTCACGAACTGATATCCCACCCCGCGCCGGGGGCGGTGGCGCGCGCGAGGCCGGGGTATATTTGGACCCGCAGTCTAGCAGGCGCCAGGCCACAGACCCGCCGGCAGAGCCTTGAGCCGCATCCGTCCGCGATCCGCGCCGGCTCTCAGAAGAGATTCGGCGCGGTGCTGACCGCGCCATCGGAGTGGACCATCGAGTACTCGATGGCTGTCCAGGAGAAGCGGTGCAGCTGCGGCATATTGTCGCAGTGCGGCATATTGTCGCAGTGCGGCTGCGGCACTCCTGCTGCAGCGCGCGCGCGCGGTGGTGGTGAGGAGAGTGCGAGCCCTTGAGCTGCTGGGTCAGTCCATCGCCGGCGCATGCGCCGGCCTTGAGGTGGTTCCCACAGCAAGCTGGCCCAGGGGCTGTGGCCCTACGCAAGGCGCGCAGGGAATTGCCGATCGTGCCGGTGTCCAGCCGGCCCCCAGCCGGCCCCGCTCGGGGAGTTGAAGGCGGCCGCCGGTGGTGACGGGGGCTCTCCGGAGAGGCCGCAACGCACCACGCGAGTGGCGGCCGCCACTCCGACGCGGCGCCGGTGGCGCTGCGCACCACCACCAAAAGTGCCCGCCCAAGCCACGGGTAGTCTGTCGCGACTACAAACCCCGAGGAGGCACACAGACTCAGACACACAGTCCACCTGTGAGAGCTTCTCTTCACCTGTGTGATGCACGACCTGCGAGCGGGGCGGGGTGCGCACTGTGCCTTTGTGTTCGTGCGTCGCCCATCCCAACATAACAACTTCTCTGTCTCTCCCAGGACGAGGTGGCGGACTGCGCGGGGTCTGTTTCTTCTGCCCGCGTTGCTCATCTCGACGCTCTACCCCCCTCACGTCTCCCATGGACACCCTCTTGGACAAGCAGCCGGAGCCCAACACGCGCTCCGTCAGCGCCTCCTCCGCCCGCGGGTCCGTCTGGGCCCTGCCTCCGCCCACCACGCCGCTCGGCCGCGCGCGGCGGCAGCTGAACCTCCTCCTGAACGAGCCGTCCTCGTCGACCGCCGCGTGGGTGGTCTCGTGGGTGGTGGTGATCGCTATCGTCGTGTCGACCACCACCTTCGTCGTCTCCTCCACGGAGTGGTCGCGCAGCAGCGACTGGTACCCCGCCTTTGCTGCCGACGCAGAGTACACTGTCGTCGCAATCTTCACACTCGAGTACCTGCTGCGCCTGCTCGTCCACGAGAAGGGGTCGCGGCTCACCTTCCTCGTCGAGCCGATGAACCTGATCGACCTCGCCGCCATCCTCCCCTTCTACCTCGAGCTCTACCTCTCCTCACACGGCGGCGCGAGCGGCGCAGGAGGCGTCCTGCGAGTCATGCGAGTCGTGCGGCTGATGCGGCTGCTTCGCCACTCGACCGAGCTGCAGCTCTTCGCCAAGGCGATCTCGAAGAGCGCCGAGGGGCTCAAGATGCTCGTCGTCCTCGTCTCGGTCGCCGTGCTCATCTTTTCGGCGCTGCTCTGGTACGCAGAGCGCGGCGTCTTGGTGAACGGGGCGTTCGTCCGCTCCGACGGCTCCGTGTCGCCCTTCCCCTCCATCCCCTCCACCTTCTGGTGGGCCGTCGTGACGATGACCACCGTCGGGTACGGCGATACCTTCCCGGTGGAGGCGGGGGGCAAGGTTGTGGCCACCGTTGCAATGTTCGCAGGCGCCGCCGCGCGCCCCGCCGCCCGCCGCCCGCCGCCCGCCCGGGAGCGACGGGTCGGGCCCTCGTCGCACAGGTGTCCTGACGCTTGCGATGCCAATCACCATCATCGGTACCAACTTTTCCGAGGTGTAGCCGAGATCTAGCCCAGATCTAGCCTCGATGCGGCCCAGATGCGGCCCACATATGGCGGAGGTACAGGTATAGCCGGGTTGTACCCAAAGTGCACAGTCAGACGTAGTCGGGAGATAGCCGATCGCCGTTACCGCCCCTCCCTCCGGAGGTGTACGACGAGTACAAGCGCAAGCAGGCGGCCAAGAAGGCGGTCAGCGACGCGATGCTGCTGCACAACACGTTTGGCGCCGGCGCGACGCTGCGCGAGCTCGTCGCGCTGTGCGAGGAGGAGGAGGAGGCGGTGAATCAGCTCTTCGGACGCGCACTCGCCACGCTCGACGCCAGCGACTCGGAGGGCGCAGACGTGGCGCGCGCGCAGCTCGAGTCGTACCAGGCGATGGCGCAGCTCGGCATGACTGGCCTCTCCAAGCTGATGACGAGCAACACCTATTTGCGCGCCGCGAGCGGCGAGTGACAATGGCGCGGGCGGTGGCGCGCGTTGCGCCGGCGGCGTGGCGCCGTTGCCATCCCCACAAGGATAGCAGACACTGGAGAGATAAAATCATCGGCGGGAGCCTCTTCAGGCGCGGGATACGGCATGGCGAGGCGGTCGGAAAATAGTTATAGTTTATAGAGAGAG